TATTTTTCTTATCAGTCTTAATCTGGGCTGTGGTCTTCAATTTCTGTAGATGGTCAGTGCTAGTAACTGGTATATCAGTAGCAGGTGTCTTCACTGGGTGTTATTTAACCAAGCAGATAGTTCACTTACTACAAAGAAATTTTATTAGCCTATGTAACTCCTAAAGAGAACTGTATCTTAAAATCCATTTCAACACCACACATACAGTATCCACCCTAATATTTGCAAAAAAGCGAATACCATAATATGTATTTCTAACATTTGATATTTAGGCATTAGAGGATTGTTGAAATCCTCAAAACTCTCGCTGGCTTTGGAGAAAGTCTGCTGTCTAAACTTCGGTTTTGTTTCCAGTTCTGAGAATCACACAAGAAAAATAGAACCCTTCATACTTGATTAAAAAAAAAAAAGAAAAAAAAAAGAAGAAAGGTAACAGTATCACTCTGTTTTTCAAAAACCAGGGAATTTTGTGCAAGTTTAGAGATAATGGTACAGGAAAAATGTGAGCTAGATTCTGAGTTCTCTGTCATGAGTTACCATGAGATGTGGCACAAGAGCAAGCCTTCTGAGCAAAACATGTAAATCCAAACAACTTATGATGCATCACAAGACGACAGATTTCTCATGCTACAAGCATACAGACTTTTTCTTCTAAATTCACATATTCAGACTTAATTATAGCACTGAGGGGCAGAAGAAGTTTGAAGAAGAAGTTGATTCAGTTTTACACCAGTGACCTCAAGAAAGTTCAGCTGAACTGAATGCTTATTGATGGCCCAAAGACCTGCTGTTCTAGTTGCAATGAAACATCTCAGTGCAGAGAGCTGTGGGTATGGTAACTTGTTTAGCAGGATCCTCTGCCCCTTGTTTTGGGTGTGTCTTTTCAGCGCACTAAATGTGGGTGTTGAGAGTCTGCACACCCCCAGCCTTGGTGTGTGCAGAGCAGGAGCTGTTCTGCAGAGATTTCACCAAGTGTCTAAGGGTATGAACCAGGATTGTCTGTGTGGGCTCAGATAAAGATGATAAAACCCCCTGGCTTGATCTTAGGGAGTGAGGGCAGCAGCCAGTGTTGGAGGGTAAGCTTCAGCCTTTCCAATGCAAATGAGCTCAGGATAAACATACTGCCCTATGTATTGCTGGTTGCAAAAATGGAGTATGCACAAACATGAGAAACAGCCTGGCAGCAGAGTTGAACTGCATGGGAAGAAAGGAAAGCGTTTGTTGTGGAGATGACATCTGGGTTGGAAAGTAGTGATAAAACTTCTGTTAAGAACTGTCAAAGACTTTAAATTTTTGCTTGCTTGCTGTACTAAACAGCAGAAAAAACTTAAATAGTCATGTTTCTTTGTACTGATGGACATTAAAGATAAACTTTATCCTGAAGATAAACTGAGGCTTTTCTGCACGGGATGTGTTTTTGTGTGTGATATGACATAGGGAGACAATCCAGTTTTGAAACACGGCAGTTTCACAAATGTTGGAAACCCTGGCCTTGATACCTTATTTTACTGTGCAGTTCTGTGGTGGTTGTAGAGTCTTATCCTGAATAAACGTACTTGTCTCTGCATGTCCAGGAGATTATAGCAGAGGCCCTTCTTGGCCACTTCTTCTAAAGCTCATCAGGCTCTCTCCCGTGTTAAGTGCAAACTACTGCTTCCAGAAGTCTGCATTACTGAAGAGATTCAGGAGAAGTGTGACTGCTGCATTTATCCTCCCTGTGCGAAATGGAATAACACTGGAGCATTACTTCTGCACTAATTGAAAAAAAATATGTTATTCCTATAGCTGGCCTTCTGTGTTCAATGTGTTTTCTCTAAGTATCCTGCAGGTTAATAGCGTTTGTGGGAAACCTTATTACCACAGCAAATCTGGATGTGTTCAGTGGGATTCCTGTAATTTACTCTTTCTGGATCCAGTGGCAGTCTGCACTTGCAGTTCAGCCATATCTGACCACTTCTGCCTTACCCCATCCATATCTTGTGAAGTGGTATTAAATGCTGAGGCTTGCAATTGAAGGAATTGATGTTGATACCCAATGTCATCCTTACTCTAACCCCCTGAATCTGTTTTTAATGGCACATATGATGAGCTAAGTCAATGATTATGTTCTCTTTGTCAGAGCTTTGCTGGAGATTAGTACAGGGAGTTCCTGAAATAGCTGCAGATTGACAGGAGAGCTGAGCTGGAAGGAGCCTCTGGAGGTCTCTAGTGCAGACTCTGGCTCCAAGCAGGGGGTTAGATCAGGACGTTCTGGGCCTTGCTTCAGTCACGTCAGGAAGATGTCCAAGAATGGAGATCCCACAGCCTCATGGGCCCTGTTCCAGTACTTAATCATGCTCATTGAATATAATTAATACTTTTTTCACAATTGGAATATTCCTTGTTGCAACTTGTAACTCTTGCCTGTAGTCTTTTCATCACGTACTTCTGAGAAGAGTGGCTCCATCATCCTAAGTGTAGTGTGTCCAAAAAGCTTTTCTCACATATTTGTGTGTATGTAAAAACTACTAAAAGAATTCAAGCCACTTTGGGGAATGATGAACAGTATCTGTTGCATCATCCCCCCAGTCTTCATGCCTAAAGGCAGTGTACTTAAAAGTCATTAACACCTTGACCTGAGAGCATGGTGTGTTTCAACTGCAAATGAGAGAAGGTGAAAAATCACTCTGCCCAGGAAACAGTTCATGTTTATACCAAAGGTATTAATAAGTGGATAATACCAAAGTGTTTGGTTATTAATAAATTAGTAAAATAAGAATTCTGAATGTTAATGCAAGCAGTGCTCTGTAATTGTATCCTTCCCTTGCTCATAGGGAGAGGAAAGGAGCTGCCTGCTGCTAGGAGAGGTTCCCAGGAAGGTTCTGTCCTCAGAGGATTGGGGAAGGAAGAGCTTCTGGCTGAGGGAGTAGAAGAATCTCGAGTCTGCACAGTAAGGTTTTGAATTCCAACATTCTGTGGAGTGGAGAAGGACTAGTAATTCTTTCTGAGAGATGAAATCCAGAATTTTTGCCTAGAGAGGGATGCGGATTCTGTAGTAGCATCTGGCATGTTGCTGGCTGCATCTTGGAAGAGCTCTTTGCTTCCTGCCCACAAATCACATAGAGTTTCTCTGGAAAACCTTCCTCCCTTCATTATTCCTTGTGCAGGCTGGGATGAACCACAGAAACTCCTGGGTTTCCATGGGAAGGGAAAGTTTGTAGGAGTGATTGAGGTCTGTGCACTTCTGGGATCCTGCTCAGGCATGACAGATTGAATAACCAGTTCTTGTTGTCTATTCCTGGTATTAATTACTTGGAAATGGTCTGTCTCTTTCTTTTCCCCCAGTGTATTTAATTCCTGTCTCCATGTGTCATTGTTTAGCAGTGTGTGCACAGAAGTTGTAGCAGCTCATACAGGGAGCAGTTGCCAGCAAGTCAGGAGGAGGTATCTAAAGATGGAAGGGTCTTGTAACAGAAACATCAGACCTTTCTACCTTTCTTACTGCCTTCCTTTTTTATTTTATTTTTTTAATTTTATTTTTTTATTATTTTTTTGTATTTATTTATTTTTTTAAGACAAAACAAAAATCTCTTTCATTTAATCTTGGCTTTATTTGGGTAAAACAAAAAATGAAAAACTGTCTTCTCCTCACCAGCCATACATGTTTATCTATCCTGTCTGAAACAATTCTCTTTATGGATGAAAACAGCAAAACGAAAACATTCACTTGATTGAAGATAAAGTGGGTTCTTCTGTGCTGGCAAGTCTTGCTTTTGCAAAATTGGTTTTAATTAGGTTACATTTTTTGGTCTCTTTACTTCATGTAATAAGATGAAATTGTATTGTTATGCTTAAAATAATACTGAGTACAATTTGGTTCTCTCTCCTTAAATGGCAGATGATTGTTGCATTATTGAATGCTTAGATACCATCTGTGCAAGAAATGAACCTCAGAAAAAAAACAGCCACAAGACAAGAGGGTGCTGTGCAATGACTGGTACATATCACAGTGAAAATATTTTGATGTGGCATTATACAAACCCACAAAATATCTTCTTTTCCTTTCTTCTTCCTTTCATTCAAGCAAGGCTCGATAGGGAGCTCTGAATGACATTTCTAGAAGCAGAACTGGATTCAGAGGACCTTGAGTCATGCAGTAGAGTCAGCTCACTGGAGGAAATTGCCACTTTGTTCTTCATTGGGGCCGAGAAGGCTGAGTTAAAGAGGGGAAATGGGAAGGAATACACACTAGAGTAGCTGCTTTTCCTATTTTAGGGTTTGACTTGGCTTTCCCATTCAGTCATTCTAATCAGATACGGATATAAGGCTATCCACTTATTTTTCACAAAAGCACTTTAATACTGTTTGCCTTTGAGCTCATTATAACTCTGTACTGCAGTGGAGATGGAGAGGATTAGTCTGGAACTCCTGCTCTCTGTTCACTGAGTTATTATGCTGTCAATTGTCTTTTTGTTAAAGTTTTGCAGAGTAGTTATTATTGGCTCTGATGAGAGTGCCACTGGAGCTGCTTTAAAAATGCTGTCAGAGTAGTCCTTTTATTTCCTTTTATATATTCATGTGGTTCATGATTCCAGTAAACGGCAGTAGGAGAGAGGGGGTTAGACATGGAAAAAATCAAGGAAGTCTTAAAATTAATAACTGCCCTTTCTTCTGGATATTTACTGTGTTATGTGAGTGGCATAATTTGACATCATAGAATGTAACCAAACCAAAGGGAGAAATATGCATGAATGTACTGATGAGTGACAACATGCAGATGATGTACAGAATGGTGCACCTTAACTGCAAAGATCTGCAAGACTGCAGATTCCTTATAGCATATATTAATTGGCAAGAATTTCTGGCCAAGAAGAAATAGATATGTCAAGCAATTGCATTTCTCTGTGTATTAGTAGCAGTAGTATTCCCTAACCTATTTGTTATGTGCCCACAGATTTCCTAGAGATTCCAGTTCAATAGTTTCTGATTCTCTTGTACATATGAACGTCTTTTTTTTTTCACATGAGATGCAACATTGTAATAAGTGGGTTAAATAAGATATGAAGGTAATAGGTAGCCTACAGAGAGTATTAAGAGACTGAACATAAAATAGCTAACTGGATTATTATGTGACTAATGGGTTATTCAGCCCTACCAGTGAGAGCAATATATTGAGGAATATGGTAGTCCTTAGTCATTATTCAATGGATAAAGCATATAAGTGTATAACAAAGGATGTGAGGCCTAAGGTACAACATAGGTGTTCCTAAATCTAGGAGGTAGTTCTTGATGCACTTAATTTTGTTCTACAAGGATTGCTTTGAAATCTGGTTCTTCCTTCTTTAGAAGGATGGTTGAAACAAGACCTTACTGCAGTCAGTGGAAATATTATCATCACTGTACATGAGGCCGTAATTTAAAATGCACTTCTCTAAAAGCCAACATGAAGGAATTTTCCTTGCTTGCACACAGAATGAAACTTCTTTGTGTGTTTATTCACTGCAGCCATCATGCTGGAAGGTTGCAAAATGCACCTTTTGGCTTCATTTCAGGTTGTGATTCATTTTAACACCCGTGATGCCAGTTAAGTGTCTGCAGAGAGAGAACATGTGCTGTGGACTCAGACTGCATCTGAATGTTACTGTGTCTAACAGCATAACTGCAGGTTGATCCACTGACAGCTCTTAAAGGTTGTTCATATACTTCCTTATGTTCAACAGATTTATCTCAGCCTAAAGCCTCCCCAGAGCAAGGATGCTGATTCTCCTGGCCTTCATTATTGTGTTTCACATAACCTCAGCAGCGCTGCTGTTCATCTCAACTATCGACAATGTAAGTGTCATTTCTTCTCGGCGCCTCTCAAACACACTGCCATTTCTTTGCTTCATAAAAACTGAGATTTTCTTCTCTAGTCTTCAACTTGCTTACTGAGGAGACTTATGTTTGTTAGGCACACTGGTGTCCTAAGACCTTTCTGTGACACAAATGCCTTGGGTGTGCATGTTGCTGGTGGATAAGGCTCTCCATGGCATCTCGTTGTAATCTCGAGGCAGCAGATCCTCTGCCCAGGGAGACACTTGGGCAGGGAGGATATTTACAGGGTGGAGCCCTGGGATTTGATTCAGCTGGATATGAAGGAGAGAGGGGGAGAAATCCACTGTCCTTTTGTGTCAAGTACACGAAGTCAAACAGCTGGTGATTAATGTGTGGGGATAATTTCAGTCAAGGTGGGCTTTGCCTCACAAGATGCCCAAGATGCCCAATTAAATAATGAGAGACACTATGAATGTATGTGTCCATTAAGCTGAAGCAGCTTTAGCACAAAACTTTAGAAAATTTTATGTTGCATTCTTTAAAAATTTCCATGTTATTTTTGTGATAAGAAACAATCTACCCTCAGATATTTATATCTAGCTTTTAATGGAATTCTCCATTTTCCAAAACAGCCCACTATCCTGACCAGAAGTCTGTGCACTGGAATCTATCTGTGAGGTCTGATGTATGTACAGGCTTTTGATATTAAAAAATTTACTGCTGAAAATACTGTTCAGTGAAGACCAAGCTCCAAGTGAAATGATGTGTTGCCCACAGCATTTTATTGCAAAAGTGTACAAACTCAGGTGTTACATTTTAGTCAGCTGGTTGACTGTTTCATGGAAGTAGGCCATTATCTGAGCACTAGAGCAGGTTATCTTTCCATTCTCCTTGAATATTTAGAAAGCAAAGACAGTGGACAAAGCAACATAATCTTATTTCAAATCTGCTACACACAACCCAAATTATTACAGAAATAAAAGCCTATACACTCTGCTTTTGAACAATTAAAAACTTAAATGGTACCATCTTCTATTAGATTTTATATTATGTATCTATATATTATATAGAGCTCAGAGCTGAAAAATAACATGTTGAACTTGGACTGTAAAATCCAAATCAATGGCATCCTGAAAAAGTAATTATTTTTCTTAAAACACAATGTTCTGTTTGTCCATATGCCTACTACCATAATATAATATAGTTTTAACTCCAGTATTATTTGCAGAGCTGCACAGTAAGCTCTGAGGCTTCTGGAACGTCTATTTAAGCAGCTCATCCTACCAGGAATCCTATTTAAAAGTTGTATTTTGTGCAGCTCTAGTCAAAACAAAGGCCTGGGTAGCTATTGGAATGGGAATGGGTTTCCTGAGGAAATGCCACTTGTGGAGTGCTTGTCATTTTCCAAGCTACTGTAAAAATCTGCTCAGACACTGCATTTTGCCTTGAATGTTAAAACCTCCAAATAGAAATACCGCAGGAGGATCTTAATTTGCCAGCCATTACCAGACAGATGCCACAGTGTACCTCAGCATGGCTGCACTGCATTGAGATTAATCACTTCCATGGCAGGAAGCAGCACATCTATAAAGGACTTCTGTTTCACAGGTGATGCCATTTCCTGCAAATCAGCAAATGCTGTTCCTTCAGAGAGGTGTGCATCCTAAACTGGGGTCGGGGAGAACAAAGCACATCTTGGCTAAGTGTCTCAAGAAGTGAGCAATCACTGAATATACAAAATTTCTGCCCAAACGGTGGAAATCCCTTGTGCTTTGGGATGTTTAAGATTCCCTTACCTACTTCACAGAGATCTAAACTGAGAATGATGTGTGGATAATTATATATCCTTTATCCCGAAATGCCATGAGATCTGGCATTTCATTTGAGTGGTTAAGTATCAGAAATGAACAGAAAATTGTTACAGCTGATGTATGTGATCAGTAGACACTTGGACAACGAAGGAGTTTTGTGGGTTTTGTTATTTTTGCTCCCTGTAAGAGCCCTTTACTTTTGTTTTGCAGGCCTGGTGGGTGGGAGATAACTTTTCTACAGATGTCTGGAGAATGTGTGACACGAATACGAGCACCTGTATGGCTATCACTGATGAGTTCCATGGTGAGTGTCTCTCCATGCCTGTGTCTATGTTCCTTCAGCAGAGCTGGTGAAATTGCTATTAAATTTACAGGGGCAGCTTTATAGTTCTTCAAAAATCTGCATGTACTAACTAGGCGGGTCTTGTAAAAACTTTAATATTGTTTTTTCATTGGAAAGGCAACTGTTCTAACAGTTTCTGTGAGAGGAAAGCAGAGGAACTGTCATGTGCACTTAAGAGACCAGTGCAAGAGAGTAAACACAAACTACTAACAATGACTGCTAACAAGTTCTTAAAAAAATTAGGTAAAAACAGTGAAGTCATCTGAAGTGATAAAATTTGCCTCAGAGTTGAACTTGCAGAGAAGAACCTAAAAATACTGTATACAAGAATGGAGGAAAAAGTGGAAGAAAATACAAGCTGGAGTTTTAACAAGGAAGTCTTAATATACAGCCTAGCATAACATCCTCCTTTACAAAATTTGAAAGTATTCCCAAATGTTCTATTTATTTTTTGACTTTCAATGTGTGTGTACACTAAAGAAGTAAATAATTTGAAGAACCATGTACCCATGAAGTAATTTTGTTTTCCAAGCATCAGGTTGGTTTAGGGCCTGTAATGTGCAGTGAGCTGATGCACTCCACACAGGGTATCTCAGCTGACCTGGATTTAAGGGTTTGCATTTGTTCTCTATATTACTGTGTGTCCACTGCAGTCAGGTACCCATCCTGGGGAGATCAGGGGTGGCTGAGGTGTGTCTGCTGCTCCCAGAGCTCCTGCCTGCAGTGTGCCTGTGCTGGAGGAGAGGGGCCATGGGAGCTCAGCTGTGTGGCCCAGCTTGGCTACAGTGGGGCTGCAGATTTGCACACAGCAGCTGCATGTGGTTAAAAATGTATTGGTTACTTCAGCTCCCAGTTACAGGGAAGTAATGGACAGGATGAAGAACATGAATGAGAGGAATCTTTAGTGTCTAGGGTGGGTATCCTGTCTGGTTACATCTTCCTGGACAGAGCTGCCTCCAGGTCTGGTGGGAGGCTGGGGTCTGCATTTGGAAGCTGTTTGGGACAGCTGGCAGTTTCACTGTGCTTCTAGGACATTGATGGCAGCAAAAGGTGGGGTGTGGCAGAGGTAGTCTCTTCAGTGTTTTCATTCAGTTTGATGGGAAGCTTTTAGAATCTTTAAGGCACTGGCTGTATTAATACCAAGGAAGCAGAGGGGACCAGCCTGTGCAGTGCACACACAGCTGCTTTGCTGCATCTTCTGAACTCCTACTTACACAACACAGCTCTGCCCCTTTACTCCTTGCAGGGAGAAGGCAAAGAGAGAAATTATTTGTAATCAAAGCTGCTTTGTTTTTGCAGAGTATCAATCAATTCAGGCTGTTCAGGCCACCATGATCCTGTCTACAATTTTCTGCTGTGTGGCATTCCTGGTTTTCATTCTTCAACTCTTCCGTCTAAAACAAGGAGAAAGATTTGTGTTAACCTCTGTTATCCAGCTCCTGTCATGTGAGTGATTTTTCAATGCTTTTGACTTGAATGATATTTTTGTGAAAGTAGGAAAGCGGGAAAAGGTTTCAAAAAGAACAAGCTGCTTGAGAACTCTGTAGTGCTCTTGAGGCCATAGCTTATCCTTCATAATTGCTTAAACAGTGAAATATATAGGCAGTTAAAGCATGGATGTCATCACTGCTCAGGATAAAGTAATTTAAACTTTTAAGTGAAAGAATTTGAGATTCTGAACTTCTTGAACACACTAAATAACTCTCTGTTGCAGGCAAGTACTCACTTTGTTTTTTGTCATCTTAAAAACTACCCAGATGTTCAGAATAATTTTCTGTTCACTGCAAATGACATAGATACACAATAGCACTTCAAATTTGAACCCTGCCAGATAAACTGAAAATATGTCTTGAAATGCTTCCAGGTTAGTTTGAGGATGGAAAACGAGCATCTGCAAATAAAGGACATTGATGGAAGCAGCTGACAGAAGAGACAGTAAATAGTTGTGTGTATTGATAATATTTTAGGATGCTGACCTTGATTATTTTCTTCCTCTTGCAGGTCTGTGTGTTATGATTGCAGCTTCCATTTACACAGACAGGCATGAAGACCTGCACCGAAGCAATGGATATGGAATGGAAGTTTCCAAAGGCCAATATGGCTATTCCTTTGTCTTAGCCTGGATTGCATTTGCCTTCACCCTGATCAGTGGAGTGATGTACTTAGTATTAAGGAAGCGTAAATAAATGTCAGCACCTAGTTATTTCTGTCACTGCAGTACAAAACCAAATTCCAGTAACCATTTTGTATATAATCATCTACGTGGTTTTGTAGTAAAGGTATTGTTTCTCTAAAAATGTACTGTGTTCTTGATATGAAACAGAATTAAAAAAAGAAAAAAGGCAGGTGAAATGAAATGCCTGGCACTCCAGGTCAGGGGTCAGAACAAGACAGATTTCATCATCATAAATGGTTCTCCTTTATTAGACATTAACAGTTTGTTCCTGGCCTCTAGTAGATTACAAATAAAGCTCGCACAAATTAATTTGTAAGCAATATACTAACTATGTTCCTGGACCAGATACCTCTCTTTGAAATATGTTAAATAAATGGGTGTGTAAAAAAAATGAGGCCCAGATGACAATGAAAAAGCAAACTATTCTAAAGCCCAAAGCTGCACTCAGAGCGTCTGCCCTGGCTCAGGACCAATGTTCTGCTCTTTATAATGTGCAGTAAGTGTCATCAAGTTTTTATTAAAACCACTTGCTCTGCAAAAGTAAACAAGTCCTTTTTGTACTCCAGCAAATGTTTCTCTTGATTGTCTTTCACATTTAATTTAAGCACACAGAGCCTTTGGTGGGAGCACTTATCAGCCAAGTCCCTGTCCAGCGGGGGCCCAGCACAGCTGGGGCCGTGAGGAACTCCCCAGCCCTGAATCCCTTCAGCTTAGCCTTGGGCAGCCTTGCTGGGAGGGAGAAAAGGGAAATAGAAAAGCATTACTGTGCCTACATCTGCAGATTTCTAAGCAGACTAGTGATCAAGCAATGCCAAATTTAGGTTTTTACAGCCAAACTCAACATATTTATTACACTAGGCTTTTATCATGTGGTGATTTCATGGTTAATGTGTCCTGTACAAAAGCATTCCCTGAGTCTGCCCATTAGGAAATTGGCCTTTTAAAAATTCATTTTAAATTCCTTTGTGGATTTTACTGGAACTAAACACTGCTACTAAACAAATCAGAGTGCAATTACTATGCTTATGAATTCCAGGATAGGTTTCAAGATAAAATGACTTGGTGGTTTTTATTTTTCAGTAATTTTGTGGGCTAAATCTTTGCTCTAATACCAGGCTTAACTGCTCAGCAGTGTAATACTGGCTTTAGCTGATTATGATTTTGGAGATCAGTGTGGAGAATGAATGAAGTGGCCTATTCTGATTAGTCACAGCTTTGATGCTTAAGTACAGATCTGACTTTTGAAAAGCTCTAACCATTTATTTATTTATTTCAGTATATTCACTACAGCTGGCCCAATACACAGTAAAAAAGTAAATAGAGTTTGAATGAGGTATAACACTTAAAGGAGAACAAGTTCAGTATCATAAGACAGTGTAGCTCCACTGAAGTTAATAATTACTTCATTAGACATCAGCTGATGTAGTCAGATAATGAAATTTTTTGTTTTCTGATTTATCCTTGATTTATCACGAAGTAAAAGTTCAGGTGCATAGCTTTTTAGGGGCTGTTTCCAACATGAGTAATGTGCCATGTAGTTCCATCTTCATTCTTTCAATGTCCTATAATGCCTTGGCATGTGCTGCTTGTCTTTTGGGAGCAAAGAAATCCCAATAAGGCTGTTAAAAAATTAGGATGAGCAAGCAGGACATCACAGTAAAACTAATAATAATAGTTAAAAACTCACATCACTTTGAAGAAAAGGAATTCTCCCCAGTCTAACATCATGCTAGTATTTTGTCAGGTGTTTTTTCCTCTTAGTGGGAGTGCTCTGAATTTCAGTTTTTACCCTACTTTTTAAAAAAGTGTTTCTGTAATTTGCTGAATACATTTCGGGTTCAAAACCTGAGTTTTTGCTAGCAGGCAGAATTTGTCTTAAATAAATAGATGCAGATTTAAGGATGAAAGTAGATACTGTTAGCTAGGCATTTTGCTACATTTATTAAACCATGAAATGTTAGCTAAGCATTTTGCTACATTTATTAAACCATGAAATAAGAGAAATTTTTAAGCAAGTACGGATTAAAGCTCTAATATCTGGAGGACAGTCCTGAAAAATTCTAAGTTAAGTTTTTATGCCACTGACTTGCAGAGATGCTTCAGTTTCTTGCCTTGATAATGCTCAGGTCATTTGTAGAGCAAATATTTAAAATAAAGATATAAATATATATGAACACAGTTTAATTCCACAGTAAAAGCTCTGTCCCTTTATTAAAGTGAAAAGCACACACACAACAAACACTCTGATGCACAACACCTCCACTTTTGTACAAACACCAGCACGTGCATGATGCACACAGAATAGATGGGAATGTTCTGCACAGCAAGTGAACAAATACCAGATCAGTCTGAACTAGAGTTTGAGCAGGACAAACATATTTTAGGGTTTTTTTCTACCTTATATGCCTTTAAAATATACCATTTTCTATACTCTATATATTCTGAAAATGTACATGAAAATAAAGTTAAAATGAATTCTTGTACTGTAATAGCAAACTCAATACATTTAGCAATCTGACCTTTTCTTTAAGCTTGGGATATATATACACAATGTTGGATGAGAAATAGTTGAGTATTTGTGTGAACAGGTAAAATTAAATTCTTCCTTCCTGTAGTAGAACCACAAGCTGATTATTTTGTCCTTTGTTGAAGACCTTTCAGGGTAAGCAGAGAAAATATTAGTGTATTGAACTTTTAAATGTATGATGTCAAAAGAAAGTCTTGAGTAATTCAAGATCCACTGATGTCTGAGGAGTTATTACTTATAAGGGATTTTTAAATTTTCCATCATTTGCAGAAACAGTCATATATTTTAAGATGAGGTTGAGTGCCTTAACCATATGAGCAAATAATGTGAGAAACAGACCAGTGACTTCTGCATCTGCTCTGGTGCAAGCTTTGGATTTGGACTGACGTGCTAACAGCACACTTGGGTTTGCACAGATCCATCCAAAACACTCCCATAGAAATAATTTCCCAAACTCCATAAAACTTCTCCCTTCTTATCATAATGAATAAAAGTGAAAAGCCCCAAATATTAAAATATTCACTATCAGCCGTGAATCTACCTTTATGTTTTTCACCCAGCAAGTAATCATCTGCAGTACAGGAAACAATCTTGGAAAAACAATCTATAATATTTATGTCAAGATACTTAAAAAACCCAAAAAGTTTGCTTTTATTTATGTATTCTGTTCAGGACAAGAGATGGGCATTACTTTGCTATACTGTATCTTAAAAAAGTATTGTAGGTCATAGGATCTGTGTTGCTTAGACATTAACTAGTTTTTTACCCCAGCTACATCAACAATTAATTTTATGTGGTTCTTAATGTGCTCAAAATTATGGAGGGACTGCTTTACTTGTTCTGTTCTTATCTTGAGCATTGTGGAATTTTGTGCCATTTAGCTAAACAAACCAAAGAAAAAAATTCTTCCTGTAATTCCTAAAGACAGGAATAAGTTGAACCACTACCTTTCCCAACACTAAAGACAGCTAAGAATCCTAAAATGATTGAAATAAAAAAATTAAGTTGAAAATTTTATTCTAGTTTTCATTTCTTTTATATGTGCAATGATCCCCTCTGAAGTAATAAGATGAAAGAAAATGAAATGTGGAAGTAAAGTAGTTTTACAAAGAAGACTTCATTTTCAAGGCTGTAGAATGAAGCTTACAGAATTAATGGAGTAACATAACAGACTGTAACAAGTAAGAAACATGAAGTTAATACTGTCTGCAGTGCAAATAATGCTTGCATGAAACTCACTCAAGTAACAGTCTAGTACTTACCAGCAGTAGCAAACCACTCAGTAAGGTACTCTGAGTGTCCTAAAGAGTTCTTTAAGCAGTTATAGATTATATTATCACCAAATAGATTTTTTCATTGAATGACAAAGCAGCTCCTTTGGGGATGATAACATGAGATAAACAGCAAGGCACTGGAAGTGGCAAAGCCTTTATTTGCCTGTTTTCTTCTAGACTGAAGCAGAATTACTCCTAAGGTTTGAATGGAACAGACACAGTGATAACTGCATAGGGAAGCACATTTGGATTAGTTTCTGTAAGGGTGCATGACAGTCCAATCCCCCTCGGATTTTGTCATGAGCCTCTCTTAGTTTTGAGATTCTGAGAAGGGTCTTTGAACCCTTCAGGAAGCACTGCACAAAGGAGGATCCTTGGCAAGATGTGGATACCTGGAGGCAGACTGGCTATTGCCTGAAAGTCTAGGCACTGAGACAAAACCTGTTGTTAGTGCACCAACAAAAATAAGCCACTCACACTACTTTATATTCATACTAACTTAACTTCATTTAAATGTCTAAATCTTCATTTAAATCTCTAAGATTAATTGCTGCTGTCTGTACAGTTTCCAGACTAACAGCACTGGCCCAGACTACCTGATGTTCATGGCTTAATATCCAGCATCTTCTTGACCTTGGTTTCTATCTGCCCGGTCAGGTTTTCCCAAGGTAGAAAACCCTCTTGACACACTGGTAGTAACAACTTAGCATCACCTTGTGATATCAAAAGGAGGGCTGAAGAAGTTCCCATTGCATTTAGAGGGTATTTGTTTATCTTGAATCACTACTGCACTAACTGACTTTCTAAAGGAAAGTGTGTGCGTGTTCTCTTTAATCCTTCCCAGAAAATTTAGCCAAAATGTCAAAAAGCAGTGCATGTACTTAGTTACTTAGTTTCAAAACAAGTTTACATTGCACAGATGAATAAACCTGCAGGTGCCTTAATGAAATTAAACTGCTGTAATAAATGTCAGCAAGTATGAAGCACTGACAGTGATACCCAAACTGTATCATATGGTGCAGACTTTGGTCTGTTTTACTGCTGCTGCTTGAAGAAGAAAGCTTTGTTCTATTTCTCTTCAAAAACCTGCAAAAGTGAAACTTGCTAACAAAACTTGTGCTGCTGTCATAAATGCTAAAGTTCAGAAAACTTCATTTAAACCAAGCAGGCAAATATTGTTACAAAGGAAGGGGTAGGAATATAATGTGTGCACTGATTCACTGACTCAATTTTCTTAATATATTATCAGCAAGAAGTAAAAAAGATGCTGTATTGAGAAGTTTTTTAAATATTAGACATTTTTATTTTCTTTTTAGCATAAAAATATTAGGTTTAAAGTATCAGTATTGAAGGCTTAAATATACTTTGGAAATTAAAAGCCTAAAAGCTCTCAGAGTAAAAGTTTAAATCCTTTTGTCAAGAATTTTTTACACATTTTTACATGTATTTAAATGTGTTTTTACACATATTTAGCTTGACAGATTTGGAGAGGGAGGGAGGGAAAGGAAGGAAAAGACAAAGTAGAGGAGAAAGGAGATAAAAGGAGAAGGATGGCTGGAAAAGGTTTTGGGGCTAGGCGTTTGTGTGTGTTTATTTCTGCCAATGGCGTCTCCTAGCGTTCCTCACTTGCTTCTGTAGAAAAAATGTTTTGCCGTTCCAATCCCGTTCCAATGGAGCCTCCTGGTGGCCAAAGAGAAGCCTCCGTCAAAGCCCAGCTTGTCCCTGTTCCTTTCCCTTGGCAAGGTCTTTAAAAAGCTTAACTTTCCATCGAGTCCTGAACAATCTGCAGTGTGCACAATTTAAAAAGCGGCTCAGCTTTGGCCATGGAAGGTCCATTTTGGAATGGGCTTGGAAGGGCTCTGTTGAACACGATGCAACTGATCCAGCCCTGCTCTCTTGTCACAGGAGCTGCCCTGCAGCCCCTGCCACAAAAACCTTGGCAGGTAAACCCAATACAGCAACAGACATGGTGTTATGATTCCACAGAATCATCTTCTCCTTAAGGGCACCTAAATTATTACATGTTACACCTCAGGCATTAAGTTTAGGGAGTTGCTGGAAAATAAATTTTAAAGTTTTTCTTTTACATTCACTAGAACTGTGGTTTTCTTCTGTTGTATTGATCACTTCAAGTTTTCTTTCTTTCATTTCTCTCTGATAATACAGAATTTCAGTGGAAGGCTTGTCTTTAATCAAGTGAATCCAAGACTACATACCAACTGACAGAGTGGAGCATTATCTGCTTGCTTAGATTTCTTAAAACAACCAAAAATTATTGTAAAAACGCAAAATTATATATCCAAAAGTTCACACAAGTGAAAGCAATACTTCATTCACAGAAAACTATTAAGAACATAATCTAATTGCCTAAGGACATATCACATATCTTAAAACCTTTACACTTAGAGATTAACTTGTTTTAAAAACCTCAAATTAAAATTTAAAACTTGAGGCTTTTAAGTGTCTTGCTGAACCTTATCTTTGTTTTGTATTTTGATTAAAATTTTTGGGAAAAGGCCAAGAAGGTATGAATCTACTTTTGTAAAACTTGTGAAAACCTTAAACAAAAGGACAAAGTTGCATATTTGTCACATGCAATTCTTTTGTACTTTTAGATGTGAAAGAACAAAAAGTCTTAGACTCCAAAGACGACTTCTGAACAAATGGATTTTTGTAATTTTTTTTCATTAAATATATGGTCAGCATGAAACAGAAGGCTGACAATTTACAGAACTACACCTCCTCTAAGATTAGTTAAAAAAATTCAGCACAGCAAAATTTAATCAGTGTAAGGACATGAGAAATTCCTGTTCTCTCTAACAACCAAATGTCCCCACAAAAAACCCCCACGTTTTGCAGTCTTATCATTTTAGTACTAATGCATCAGTACTACCCATAAGAAATGCTCTTGTATTAGTAGCTATGTTACTGACATTTACTGTTTCATATTTTCAATTGAACTGTCTAAAAAATTAGTCTTCAACTTGCAGTTCATGGCTCCTAGGCAATGAGCTGGGAATAGGTAAATGGGTAATGCAAGGTAACTCAGAGAGGCAGGGACACTGTCAGGAACATTTTGGTGATAAAGAGGTCTGGCCCTTGAGCAGAACTCCAGTGTGTCTCCAACAGGACAGCAGCAAAGCAGAAGTTGTCAACATCCCTCCTTTGAATTCGTTTAATCAGACTGAAAAGAATTATGTTGTAGTCTCCAAACAAATTCTCAGACATCAACCAATACCAGCTCTACATACATTTTGTCTGTTCTTAATGCAACAGCAAGGGAGCTGTATCAGCCACGGGGGAGGCTGCACCTGCATCCCACCTAGGGAACAGCTCCTGATGATGAGGTTTCCTCCTGGAGTGCCAGGGTAGCATTCACCTCCTCCTCCAGTCCGGACACCTGCTGCAACAGAGGGCAAACACAGCAAGGATTAACACAGCTCACCTGCAATAAGGAAGTTGTGTATTACTGCTCTATGAAGAGTAGACAGTGAAAGAGTTGCAATAGAAAACAGAGTTATTATTAATTTATCTTTGCCACAAAAAATAAACAATTTGCATACTTTGGGAGTCTTTCTTTAAGGTACCATAATAGTCATATGTGATTTACACACAAAAAATTCACACAGTTATGCAAATAAACTTACTAGTGATGTTTTAACTATTTCTTCATGGGTTTTGTTGCATTCTACTTGTCCAACTTTTCTCTTTAAACCTTCTACTTCTTGATTAAAGAAGTCGTTATTTAAAATAGTCATCTGCTCATCAGTCATAAGTTTAATCTAGAATAAAGAAAAGCTGTGTTTCAAATCTGAAAATGTGAACTCACTGAAATGCCTATATGAAACAAGTGCTAAATTTAAAATTTTCCAAAGCTTCAGGAAGAGCAGTACTTTTCTTTCTATTGTTTATATGGCATTTCTGGCACGTACAAACCACAGAATTTTGTACCTTGGCATTTTCCATTGAACTTGAGTCACTTTGCATAAAGGAGGTGTCACGATATGCCTATCTTCTAAAATTTAAGTGTTTGTATTACCACTAGTAGTGCAAAATACAGCATTAAACATTTTAAAAATGTCTATAATTTCCCTATACACAAAATTAAGGGTTTTATTTTCTACAGGATTCATGATCAAAAATTGCTGAGAGGCAAATTTCAAGCAGAGTACTTGTGAACAAGTGAAGCTGGTTAACTTGAGAAATAAAAAAAATTTAATGGACATATAAGGATTAATAATAAAATTTTAAATATCTTATAAATATTTTAAACTATTCCTGTTAAAATTATTTGTTGATTTTACACATCAGACCTATATCCATAATACTAGCTACAAGGAAAAAAATGTCTGCATAAGCAC